ACACACACACACACACACACACACACACACACACACACACACACACACACACACACACACACACACACACACACACACACACACACACACACACACACCAATCATTGGGCGTGTTATGGAAAAAATCATAAGGAATTTAGCCTTAAATTCTGCGTCATTTGACAATCTTAATATCCATCCAAGTGGTACTAAAAATTGCTCCAAGCACCATTAACCCTTTCTTTTGAAGCCTACATACTCAAAACGAAGCAGTAAGGAACTTCCTGATGGTGCAGGTATAAAAAATTAAGCATCCGGAAACATTAACGTAAATAATAACCTGCTTTATAGTGTGTCTAAAGCCTTTCAATTGTGTTTTATTGTCAAAGTTTATAGATCTGGTTTATCTTCACGATCTATTGTATATTTTCTACTTTTTAAATGCTGTTTTAATTCTATTTTAAGATGTTTTAATTCTAGAATTGTTTATTTCCACACTTTAATTTCTACTTGGGTGCAATGCCTTATTTTGTGTTGTTGTTTTTTATGCTGCTGCACACATTTCACAATTTGGGATCCAAAAAGTACCTCTTATCTTATCTTATTACAAATAACTTCTATAAACAATCTGGATCATACAAGAGAGAACCTGAGCTGCTGGTTTTGATCTTGATGATGGATCAGGTGTGAACAGGACAAACAATTTGAGGCTTAAAATATGGCTTAATATGAGTCTGAGCAAGTTGAGGAAAGATTGGCTTGACAACTACAACATGAAGCAAGGTTTAAAACAAGATGGAGATTATACAGTCTCAACCAACGTGAGGTTAAATGGATCCAATGATCATGTGCAGAATGATGACTGATGATGTAGTGCGTTTCCATCATTAACAGGTGATTTGGGAGCCAAACCTTACTGTACATTTCTGACTTTATTGTGTCTCTATACGTGCAGATTTCAGCACCTTCTGTATAATTTGGCAATGTCTTGTGCACATTCAGGCTTCACTTCTCACCTGATTGTATGACTATGATATGCAGTTGGAGTCTCTGCGGGGAGTAACTGGACCAGGTGTTGACAGAGGCCGACAGCCAGCCCAGCAGCTGGCCCATATGTTGTCTATAGAGATCCTTCACTGAGTCCAGACCCTGCACCTTACACAAACACTGCACGCTCTCCAACGCCTGTGGGAGAGAGGGATAGGTGAAATTAAATTAAACATTGTTTAACCTGCAACATTACATTTTGGAGAAGTTAATCAAATAAAAGACGAAGAGACAGAGACGAAGAGTTGATGAGAAAAAGTGATACCAGAGCAGAGGGTGTTGTGTTAAAGTTGAACAATTATAGCAGTTTGCTTGTAAATTTTCAGGAATTCTCACACGGGAGGCAGACCCATCATGTGAACCCATGGGAAGAACAACACTGCAGACATGACACACACACACACACACACACACACACACACACACACACACACACACACACACACACACACACACACACACACACACACACACACACACACACACACTAGGGGGGGAAGGCAAGAAAGAAAGAGAGAAAGCAGAGTAAATAATTGTCTGACTCTTTAGGGCAGGGGAACTGACCCTGTAGGGCTCTCCATAGTTCCCTTCATAGTCCCTCAGGGATGGACAGGGACTGAGACAATGTCTGAGTCACAGATCGGCCCCTTCTGAAGGAAGCTAGACAACCCCGAGCTGTCCAGTGATGGGAAATTCTTGCCCTCTTTCTGGGAAAACAAGTTCCGCTTTTCCTCTGAGTCCGGGAATGCCCAAGGCCATTCTCACCCTCCCTCTCTTTTCCTTAATCCATTCCTTCTCATCTCTTGTCTAACACGGCTCCACACAGTGATGCAGAGTGCAGACAGACGTAAACACACACACGCACTGGTGTGTGGTGTCTGGCAAGCATCGCTGCCAATCCCTTCCCGCTCCTATCCCTGTCATTAGTCTCCTACGGCGACAAGCAGTTAGGCGACATGCTGGCCTCAGATACCGCTGGCTTCACTTATCACTGTTCCTGTCCGTCCCTTTGCATTTAGAGGCTGGCCACAACATGAGAGCTTGTTACTTGGAAATCACTTTGCTGTTGTGGCCTGAGAAGGCGTCATGGAGCCACACATGGAACTGTGTGGATGACACACACCTGTTAAAGAGCAACTCACCTTTCCCCGCCTGTACTTTTCCTTTACTTCATTCTTTCTTTTCCCCTTACCTTGCACCCGCCTCCTTTCACCCAGAACTGAATTTAAAGTTCCACTCCAAAGGTGCAATTTCAGCTCCCCTGGCTAAGTGGGTAATCATACAGTTAGCCATGCCCACTTTGAACCTGTCCAAATGCTGACATTCCTAAAATAGCTCTCTTACTTCATAAAACCTCCTTACCATTCTAATAAAAAAGGGATGGGAAACTTAAATTGAAGGGGAAACAAGGTACAAAGAAAAATCAAGGTAGAACATTTGTGTTGTTGTTTACCCACGTGGAACTAATTGACGGCTAGGCTGCATAGGGGATGTATCTGCGATTGCATCTTTTGAATGTTGAGCTGTGTTTTCTCACCTTTTCGCTGAGATGTGGCTCTGGACAGAGGCTCTGGACAGTGACCAGCACCTGCAGCAGCTGCAGGCTCACTGCACTGCAGTCTGACTCGCTCTGACACAGCAGTGCATCCACACAGCCCAACAACTGCTCCAAGTACACAACCTGGGAAGGAGAAAGACATATTAATTATAATCTGGTTGTACACACAAGTAAGTGCTCCAAGTGTTTGCCTTGAACGTCTGCCATGTCTATCAATAAACCCGATTGCACTTCAGACCTCACAAACTTATTTTATTGCTCCACTTTGTCTTCCACAGAACACCATCACAAGAAGTTAAACAGGCTTCTTTGTTTTTTACACAAAAAATAACTGAGTGATCGACAAAATACAATAACTCAGAGTGAGAACTTTCCAGACATGAGTGTGTGTGAGATTGCTGTCACTTGTCAGCCAGTGTTGTGGTGAGCTCATGTTTAGACAAAGACGCGGGGCGGCGGCTAATTTCTATGCCATTACTGGGATCATGGCCTTGCTTCCTGTTTTCTCACTGCCTGTCATTAGAGCTGGATGCCAGGGGGTGGGCTGGAGGATTGAGGGGGGACATGGAAGGTAAGGTAAGTGTGTGTGAGTTAGAGAGGGTGTGTGTTTTTGTATGTGGAGAGTTAAGAGCCATTAAAGATTCATCCAGGTGTTTACTTTGGTCTTGTGAGGGGGACTCAAGTGTGTGAGCAACCTCCTCACATGCTCCCTCATTCAAAACACACCACTCACTGAGCTCGACAGATAAATACCAGTGCTCCATCACTGGGGGGCGCACTCTCTTTTCACACATTTGAGTAGCTATTGTACCACACAGCTTGGCGTTCATTTTGAAGGAAAACAGTTGTCAAGTCAAAGATGCTCAGAGGTTTTTAAAATAAAAAAGAGAGATAATGGACTTTCAGTCTGCAAGCCAAATATACAAATGTTTTCATTTAGCAACAGAATGTTGAGCACACACTGGAAAAAATCTTGCTAGCGTATCTTAAGTCCAGGGTGTAAGCCAAGTGTGTAAACATGTTTTTCCTGAAGCAGTTTGAGGCTAAACTAAACGTTCACGCAGCCCTGAACAACCAAGACTCTCCTAGCTCGCCCACTGCACTGTGCTTTCTTGTTTGAATGTGTTCACACAGTCATTGATGAGCCAAGCCATTCACTGGCACATAAACATAGTCTGAGTTTCAGGGAGGCAGTAGTGGAAATAACGTGACAAACAGTGGCAGACATAGCCATTAGCGTATACATACGCGGACATGCATATTATACACAGACAACAACCATTAGGGCTGGCTAAGAGAGAGAGAGAGAGAGAGAGAGAGAGAGAGAGAGGGAGAGCGGAAAAAGTAGTGCAGTGTAATGACTAGGTGGACACCTGGAGCCGGGCGAGATACACCTGGTTTCATTGGCCTGGGCACGCTCCAGGGGCCTCGTTGCGCAGAGTGTGTGCATCTGTCCACCACTGGATACATCCATTACACACACACAAGCACGACTCCACTTTAAGAAGCCATACCAGCCGATGGATTCCTATCCAGTGGGGAGACCACTCCTCACAACTACTGATGTTGCTATGGCAACAGGAAAAACAAACACTGGCGGTGCATGGGACGCCGACCCCTCGCAGTAAGGTAAAGTTTGCTATGCTGCCTTTCTTCTCCTCTCTTCATCTGTCGTTCAGTGGAGCAGGGAGCAGTCCGCAGCTGTCACTCATGACAAAGGGCAGGCATGCAGTAGACACGCTGATGTATGGCCGTATGTACTGTGTGTTTATTCAACACAATAGTGGTCGCTGTGACACAAGTGCAAACGTTTCTCCATACACAGACGGGATGAAAAGACACAGAGCCTTCTTTTCTCCCCACTCTCCTGCCGTTCTGTCCCTCTAGGCTACTGAAGGCACTTCTTACAGTTTCACCAAGACAGCATATTAACTGTTGACAAGCAAGGTTGTAAATGTGCCCGCTAATTCACTGCTAGGTCCCATCTTTATGCCTTTCTTCCTCTCTCTTGGTACCATCTTTACTATTTGACTTCAGCCCTGCAGATATTGTGATGCCCCGGTCACCATGGCTAAACACAACACAGCAACACTCAGGTGTGTGTTTAATGGTGGGGATTTGTTCATTCTCTGTGGAACACCACTTTAAAAGGAAACCTGTTTGCGAATCAGAAGCAAACACGGCCATTTATAACCTACAGAGGGTAGCTCAGAACACAGTGGCTTTTCTGACCACTGGCTCTCCTTTCATTTTCCCTCAAACCCTTGACATCATCTTCAATTTATGACCAATAATATTATTCATCGAGAATCTGTCATTTATTGGTATAGGCAATTTTTCCCCCTACTGAAAAAAAGAAAAGAAAACAGGGACTTTAAAGAGTCAGCGTGGTTAAGAACTGCATAAGTATCAGTTTGCAAATCTTCATCTTGTTCGCCAAACTCCCCATGGAGCCCCGCCGCTCCTTCTGCCTCTGTTCACTTTGAAGAATATTTATATTTCATTCCCTAACAGGCCTAATTTGGTCCAAGACAAACATTTTTTCTTCCTTTTCAAGGGTCAAGTGGCAAATAACTATTTTCCAGTTGGATCCAAACACACATATCTTGCAAGTTTTATAGAACCCTTATTTAAACAAAAAAAGTCAGATGAAATTAAACATGGCAACTAGGTCCACTATTCCAATGTCTATGTTTGGAAGTTTGCAGGAAATTAAAACCACAAATAAATAAGTAAACAAGTTCCAAAAAAAATAGTTCAGGGCTAAGCAACACTTTGTTTTGAGACACTGAGGGAAGAGAACTATTCAGTGTCAGTATCTGATCCCAGAGAGAACGAGGGATGCAGGTGTTCCTGTCTCAGTGGTGTCATTAACAGCTACACAGTGACCTGGCCCTGCGCCCTGCTACGTATGAACCCTGCCTGTTGTCGAAGAAAGTTGCAGGTGCTTTGTCTGGGTGAGCTATTGAAACACAACATGTCTTTTCCGTCAAAAACAGAGACAGAGAGAATGGCCGACGGAAATAGATGGAGAAACAGACAGAGAGGAAGCAGAGGTCTGCCTCCATCTGTGTGACAAACTGTCCCGTCCTGTTAGTTCTCCCTCTCTGGGTGACCTCGCTGGATCGCACCGAGGGAGGACACAGGGGGTCAGATTCCCTGCCATTTATCACCAGCCTTGACCAGGAAGGCTTTGAGATTTCAGGGATTCTTTTAATGCCGTGGTTGAAGCAGAGTCCGGTGCAGACCTAACACATGGTTATAAAAAACTAAACAAAGGCTATGCGCTGACGGTTGCTCTGAGGGGTCAGAGTAACCATGCGAGGGTCAATAGAAATTGGTGGATTTTTGTTATTATTATCCCAGGGAGGACATTCTTGCAGGCCTCACTGGGAGGGGGGGTTGGGGTCATGGTTATAGGTGGGTCAGTAGTGCAGCTGTATCAGAAAATAGCTCAGTTATTTTGATTCTGAAAGGGAAACATATTTTGAGCAAGAGAAAGGGAAGCAGTGCTGCTCCGAACCCCATGAAACTTTTCCACTGGTAGACTATTTGCAGAGAAGCTCACATGGAATTTGTAATCATTGCTGCTATGCAAGTTACAAAAATAAAATAAAAGTTATGTGTGGGAGCACATTTCATATATGCATGTGAAGGAAGTCACTTTGACCAGAGACTTGTAATGTTAGATTTGAAAACCACCATGTGGCCGCACTGTCACTTGATCAAAATCGGCATTTTAGAAAATGACTGAAAAGTGAACCCACTAAACCAACCATGTGTACAGTAGTGCTGTTGAAAAGACTTGTAGGCTCTTTGACTCAAACCCTTTCAAGAGATGAGGCATCTTATCATGAAACTTATTTCCATAAGGGACAAATGTCAACATATATAAAGTATGACTATTGCACAGCCCTGCCAAATGTAAGAGTTTTATGGTCCACAGAGAGTGTATACAATGACTAGGGCTGCTCGATTATGGCAAAAATCATAATCTCGATTATTTGGGTCAATAATTGATATAACGATTATTAAAAACGATTATCCATTTACTTTGAAAACATCAATTTATTGGAGAAAAACTGTATGTTTTTAACAGTTCATTACCCTGAACTTTAAGTATAATTCAACTGAAAAACCAATACAAAAAAAAGAAAAAAAAAGAAAAAAAAAGTAATAATAATAAAAAAACAATCGTTTTATTTCGATTACGTTGTTTTCGTTATCGTTGCAAGCCATAGTCGTAATTGCGATTAAAATACGATTAATTGAGCAGCCCTAACAATGACCATCTATGACATTGTTAAGATCACCTAACAAGACTGTTTAAGAAAACAGCTGAGGTGGTGAATCAAGACGAAAAACTTGGCAAATCTGTCATCAAAACAAGTCTATGTATTTCAACAAATGTACCAGCCAACTGTTTACCCTCCCGCAGTGAAATGCTGACCTGCTGCAACCTCATTCAATTTAACAACAGTAGAGAGATGTGGTTTTACTGCGTAGGAATGCAGCAGATGGCTTTACTGGCCAAGAGCAGTCATCCTCAGGTAAATAAGGTAAAAACAGATCAGCACAATCTAACCCAACGTCTCCCTGCTGACCTGTTGATATTCCTGGCAGACGTCAGGATGGGCCAGTTTGTTGGCCATCTCTTGGAGATGTGGTTTAAGGAGGGGTTTGGAGCAGCCTCCCAGCACCGCAGCCAGCACCATGAGGGGGGCCCAGGGGTGAGAGGAAGAGGAGAGGTTTGTCACATGATCCAACAGCAGCTTGAGGAAGACGGCAGGAGGGACAAAGGTCCCCAACAGTTTAGCAGCTGCCAGGCTCTAGATGTTGGTACAGAGAGATAGAGAGGAGAAGAGAAGCAGAGGCATGAACGAGTGGAAAGGAGGACAGGATCCACTTTTTTAACCTCCCACACATCACTACAGAATCCTCCTATGTAAACAGGTGCATCCTAAGTCCTTGAGCTGGGCTGAAGTTCAACAGATGTGTTCTGAAATGAATCTGCCTGCAGGGCTCGACATTAAGGGCTGCCCGATGGCCACCTAGTATTTAGCTCGGGCAATGAAGCCTCACCTGCTGGTTGCCCGATCGGCCAATCTATTATGCCAGTATCATGCAGCTCGCGGATCCAGTAATGAGTGACCCGACAGTAAAACTAAACATATCTATAACTAGTTTAGGTAGTTTGAGAGGTAATTAAAATAGCTACGTGTGATATTCTAACCTGAAGTGTGTGTTTTGTCCGCTCACCGCTGCATGTGATCATGCAGAGCTGCGTGTCGACTCGTCAGCAGCAGCTGATCTCTATCTCCCGTCAGATTAGACTTCACTCGCGTTTATGTCCATATCGATCAGATCTAGCTAGTTCTAGCTAATGATATGACTACCTGCTTATCAAAAGACACCTAAACAATAAGTGTCGCTATGCAACTGGTTGAGGCCACAAAGTATAGCGCAGCATTATGCATTTGTTTACATGCCCACCGGAACCCCACCGGAACCCCGAGGTATTACCAACAGATCAACGCACAATCGACCCATACAGCACATCTCTTTCTCCACATTAAGTGTTAGACATTAGAATTGACTATTCTTGTCTGTCACATAAGTGGCGCAACTGAAGCGGTATTGCGCTAAAGGGAAATTATTTTGAAGGAAGAGATTTAGATTTGCCGGCCAACGGGAACTCTGACGTCGCCATTTTGTGTGCTTCGCGGATGCGCTCGGCTCCTCTCGACTGCTGCTCGGGTTTGCTCGTTCAGCTTCCGGATGAGGAGGCATTCGTTCGACCAACTTACAGTAGATAACATTACAAACATTTTTAACAGGCGCCATAATAGTGTAAATAATGTTTGTTTTGGCAGTTACAACTGAATGTAATGTGTTCTACTTTTTTACATCTGGGAAGGCATTTGCCTTCATCAGATGGAAAGTGTCTTGACCAACAACTTAAGTATTTCTTATAGCTATGCAGGGCATGCAAGCGAGCTAACACAAACAAGAACAAACAAACAAGTGAAATGAAGAATAAATTGAAATTGTACAATATAATATTGTGGTGGTTCATCTTATAATTCAGTCTAGAGAATGCAGCAGACAGCATCTAAGACCTGCAAAAATCTAAATGTTCTAGGGGGAGGCCCCCCAAACCCTTCGTGCATCATTTTGTCCGCGTGCATTTTTCAGGGCAATCTCTATTGGGCTCAGGGCCATCTGTAAATTAGCTTAGATGGCCCACAGGGCCATCTCCCAAATTCCTTAATGTCATGCACTGGCCTGTTTATAAACGAAATTGTTTTATTGGGTCTTGAGCTTTACTAAACCAAACCTGATCCAAAACAGGAAATACAGTATGATGAGCGTCTAGATATCTGGGACTCACATTGCTGACCACGTCCCTCTCCGCGTCGGTGCTGGCGCGGTAGAGGATGGCCAGGAGGGGCTGCAGATGCTGGACGCTGTGGTCCTCGGCGTGGAGCAGCAGCAGGGAGAGCAGCTGAGAGGTCCTGACCCGCGTGGGCACCAGCCAGTCCGTTATGTCGTTGCTAATGGCCGGCACCAGCCGACCCAGGTGTCTCACCACCAGCTCTCTGCAGCCAAGCCCTGGACGCTCCACTGGAAGTGAAAAAGTTCATGTTTTCAAACACATGTACAGTATACTCTTCTACTGTTACAGATCAACTTTTGAAGAAGGTCTCTCACTCCAACTACATTCTTCTCAATTAGTGGATGTCTTTGTTTTCCTGAATGACCTTGATTAATCTCCCCGAGAAGGGTAAGATGTTGATTATCATAAAAGGTATCTGAATGCCTTTTTGATTAAGTCAGCCAACACCTTGTTTTTGACAGTCCTTGCAACACATTTTTTGGTTCCATTAGATCGTTCTTCCTTGGTCACTATATCAAACTTTTCTGAGAGTTTCTATAGATAACTACAATATAGACTACAAACAAGCTCTAGGAACATCATTTACAGAACAATACATATGACTTATTTCCAGGATTTCAAATATCTGCTGGTTTCTAACTTTTCACTTTGTCTACCAATCTTCTTCTTTTTTTTTTTTACGGTTATGGTTTCCTCGCAAGGCACTTGTCATTGCAAGTGAAACACTTTCTTAAACAGTCCTTTACATTTGAAATCCAGCAACCCTTGCTCCCCCCTCCTCTTTCTCAATCCCACCTTGTTCTTCTCTCCTTTAGGCACACTAATGAGAGGAAGAAGGGACTAAAAGGAAGACAGATATAAATCAGAGAACCACACTAGGACAAGACTAAACAAGCCCCTTTCAGGTCGTCTCTCACTGTCTGACAGTGACCCCTTCACACTGGGAGGCCCGGCAGATTTATGATGGCAAGTAAGAGAAAGACAAAGAGAAAGAGAGAGCCTTTTCCTTCCCTTCCCTTTCCCTTTCCTTTCCTGTGCCCAGGCAGAGCCCATATCCATCCACCTTGTCAGATGTGTAGCTGTGGGACACATACAGTTCATATAGGGTCTTCAACCAGAATGCAAAGCGTAGGAAATTAACCCATTACATGCAAGCACATGCATGCACACACTCATCAATGCATGCACGTGTGATGACTGATGCTGGAGCCACGGAGATCATGTTCAGGTTCACAATCATTCCTGGCCCCAAGGCAGACGCTCTCAGAGACAGAGCAAAGAGAGATATTTGATTCAGCAAAGAGGTAGAGATAACAATTATATTCTAAATATACCTTTATAATTATTTAAATATACGTTTATAATTATATTTAAATATGCATGGTGCGAAGACAATGCACCAGCAAGAACCTCTCCTCTATTAAACTACCAGACTTCAGAAACCTTTCCTTAAACTTCACCTTTATAATTATTTTAATAAGATAATCTTACAGAGTGTAAGAAAGTCTGAGTCGGTAGCCTAGGCTTAAACTGGATCCCAGGGATTTTCTGCCAAGTTCCCCCCAGGAAACATCAGGTCTGTCTTGAGTACAGTGAAGTCCTTGAACTAAGTTAATCATACATTGATTTGTGTATGTTGCTCAGGTTAGAACATTTACATTTAAAATCACTCTGCTTCAAACATGACATTTAAATGCTATAAAAAAAAACGGAGCAGAAAATGTATAGGTGCTACAAAACACTAAATATTATATTTTAATAATATACAATAATATAATATGATATAAAATAATAAGGCTTATTACTGATTGAATAGAGAGAGCAAACCATGCTGTGACTGACCTCCTTGTGGGTAGAATGGAGGTTGGGAGAGAAGAAAGTCTAACTTGTCCTTGATATCGTCTTCATTCTCCTTCTCCCACTGGGCGCCTACCTGCTTCCATAAATCAGCAGCTAGACAGCTGCAGGAGAGAAGTGGAAACACAGATCATTGTCCCGACCATCTGCCAGTGCAATACATTGTATTTTAGATATACTGTAGATAGTAGATATTTATTGGATGTTTCCATTTCACTTTTAAATCCTCTGTAAGATATTAATTGAATATTTGTCTACAAACCAGAAGAAATTGCAGTATATAAACAGATGGCGTTTCCTTTTATAATGATCAAGGATAAGAACAATGTCCATTTGTACCTTATTTCTGGGATCTCATCACTAATACAGGTCAGCAAGAGTGGGACGAGTTTGTGGAAATAAGAGTATCTGTCTTTCATTTGAAGTAGCCAATCACCAACGACCACAGTCACAGCTCTTCTCACCTGGAACAAAATAGAAAAATCAGATATGAGCAACTTAATAAACAGTACATTAATTGGCACACAGCGGGTCTTCTAGCATTGCATAGTTGCTTTAAACAAACCTGTGGCGAGTCATCAAACAGTCTCTGAGCCAGGTGAGAGAGCACGTCATCCACGTTTTTCCCGTTGCTGTGCTGAATGACAGCCCCGGTGGCTTCGATGACTGAGACTCGAACCCGTGAGTGTTGATGAGCAATCGTCTCCATGAGAGGCTTCATGAGGCTCTCAGCCTGCATGTGAAAGTGCTCTGAAGAAAAGGAGATAAAATGAATTTCAGTCCATTAAATGTTTGCGGTTGAGATGGGTAATGCATTGATATATTATCAACACTGAATATATCCTGGAATTATGTTTTCAAAAAACAAATAATGATAACTGGGCATTTAAATAAGGGCCCTTTGGCTTGTAAACTTCCTGCCAGAGAATATTAGGCAGGCTAAATTAATACATAATTACTTAGATTAAGGTACTACTTTTCAACAAAAAGTCCCACTGCTAAAATATTCACATAAAATAAAATGTTGACTTGAATCCAATGAAAAGGGTAGTGATCTACTCGTCCAGTGTAGCAATACAATGCTGCACTGTAGGTCTTTTTTTGCTTAGGTACTGAAAGACTTCATAAAATGAAGTTAGATATATATGGTTTACTTCTCTTGAACTATTTTATTTTATTTCTATTCCGTTTCTTTTTGCACTATTTTTTATTGTTGTATGTTGTATGTCTATATATTTATGTTGCATTGTTGAAGGAGCCTGGGACTTAAACTTGTATTGCCATAACTACTGTGCATATGACAACAACACCTTTGAATCATTGAAATAAAAAACAGTAGCATTTTCATTAAAAGTATTCATATAAAACAGAAGAAGCACTACATTCAAATTAAAATGGTTTGTTTTATTTGTACTAAGAAGTTACAATAATTAGTTAAGATTTGGAGTCACAGCGTCACATGACCCTGTTGAATCTATTGAAAAAACAATATGGACCCGCGTGCGCATACGCGGAAGACCATTTAGATTGAAGGTCCCGTATGTGAGCGTCCTATGGTTGCCTACAGTCTGTAAAATGACATCAGAGGCAAAGACTGTGGTAAGAAAACGCCGCTAGATCCGGAATTAAAGTTTGTCAAATATTCAACATAGACTAACTTCACTGCAGTAAGAAAGCGAGTGTTTCTGTCGTAATCAACACACGTGTCGGAGTCCGTGCTTCGGAACCATGGCAACGACATACTTTTTCGACAACAAAAAAAGTGTTACCAACCTGGCAGAGACTTTGCCACGTTTATGGTGCATTTGCAACTTTCTCTCCTGACATCTGGGAACGGATCGACGATGGTTCTCTGCAGTATGTTGATCATGTCTGTGAGATATGGGGCTAAATGCTTCCCGCACACCTCCACCGTCAGAGTCAACATCTCCACAGCCAACAGCCGGAGTTCTTCCGCCGTCTCCAGGGTCTCCTTCTCCCCGAGCCTCTGAGCCAGACAGGGCATTAGATAAGGCAGCGACTCCTCCGGTTTAGGGACACAACGAATAAACTCTGTTGTCATTGTTAGTGCGGTTTCTCTGCATCTTTCCATCGGGTCTGACAGGCATTTAAGGAGAGGCTTGAGTAGGGCAGAGAAAAGCTCCTGTAACACGCTGCTGGAAAGTCCTTTATCTACTGTCTCCCTCTTTATCAGCTCCAGAGCCCTCTTCCTTGTCGACTTATTGTCTTCGTTTAGACAATTTAAATGTCTGGCGAGTCCTCTCAATATTTCAGAGGAAGCATGCTCATCTCCAGCCGCCATCGCTGCCATCTTGACTGTTATCGTTATGGCAACCTGCAGCTGCACGACAAAACAAACGGCTGCTTTACGACAGCTTCCGATTCAAATGCTCAAACTTTATTTGCACTCAAAATCTTTCCTGTTGCTACTGCTCGCAGCTCTCTAGTCCTTTGAATCTAAATGTCGGATACATCTATGTTTTAAATATTTTCAGGAGAGACTGATTGATAAATTGAAGTTTATATTTTAGAGGTCCACAATCTGTGCTTCGATTGTGGCATTGTAGCCCAATTTCAGGAAAACCTGTGGTTTAATAACTTTGAATTATTGATGTGTTTTGTGTTGCCTTGCTGGTCTGCTGGTCAATAATACACAGGAACTACACTCATGTTAACTGGGTTAATTATGTTTGCCAAATTCCCTATCCATCAATATAAAACTAAGATTTTCTCTAAAACAATAAAACACACAAACTCGTAAACTAATGTACAGTTTATATTTTCTTTATAAAGTGTTACGTTTCTACATGTTATATAGGAGTAGGCTTAAATTAAATTAAATGCCTGGACAAAGTTGGCTTCACAAAACTTTACAGATGTGTGGTTGAGATAATGAAGGCATGAGTTTCTAAATCGTGTGCGGTCCAAATAAGGGCATTGGTATAGGTATTAGGAATTATTTGTACATAATGCAAGAACAGTAGCGAAGAAATACATAGACATAGAGCTTAAGCTACAGGGGAATAAATCATTATAACAATCATAAATATACCATTATTGACATACTGTAGGTCTACATAATGTCACTAAGAAGAGAAGATGGGGTGTGTGTAGCTGGTAATTTTCAGAGTCTCTAAATTGCGTAGTCTGTTTTTACATTTATGGATCAGTTTGTTTCATAATGATGTTACAGAATTGCACCCTAGTAATTTTTTTAGGGTGGATGTTTCCTTTAAAGATCTTTTACCTGCAAAAGGGTTGACGCGTGCTCGCTGCCGCTGGCCTCGTGAGAGCGCCGCTGCGGTCGAGAGGCTGACAGATTGACGTCATCGGGACTGACGCAGAGCGAGCAGAGAGGCAGAGCGCAGCAGCATCCCTGCTTACCAGCGGCACCTCACCAATCTCCAGCAGCGAGGTGTTTTCTCACTGAGCATCCTACAGAAATAACGGTAGGGACACCAGCGAGGGCTCCGAATAGGCAGTGTTTTTATAAACACATAATAGCGGTTAAGAAGAGGCCCCTCATGGCGTTTACGCCGCAGTATTTCCCCTTCGTTGTGGTTTGGTTGTCATTGTAAGGTTAGCAAAGCTAGCTGGGCTAGGCGTCTATTGAATGCATCTGAACAGGTGCTTATCATCACAAGCTCAACCGTGTGCATGGCAAATGTGTTATTTGTGGCCACTGTTTTGCCATTTGCTTTGAACAACATGTGATAACTGCCATGCCCTGAACTCATACTTGCTTTAGATTTATTATGCATAGAAAAACATCGCAGATGTGATTTCCATTTGAGGAAGTGATACAAGGTATAGCTAAGCTACACCTGCTCAGCTTCCTGGCTTGCTGCTACGTTATTTGGCATTACTGTCTGACATAATCATTGCTGTTGTGAGTTGTCATACACTATTTTTTATTTAGCTCTGAATCCACCTGGAAAATTGTTACTTTACTTGCTTAAATAAGATACCTTAAAGCACAAGTTTCCAAAACGTTCATGTTCATTCAACTTCATCAATGAAAAATCATTCAAAGGGCATTAATGATCATGCAGTAGTCATACATTAATTGTGCATGACCTGAGTATACCCAAATTAGGGTTTGTCAACAAGGATGATATTGTCTATTCCTGGGTACTTTAATCATGTTATTTATATCTAAAAATCACAATATTGCTATTAACTAAAGACATACCTGTTGAAATATTTAAAGATAAAATAACTAGACAGCAGGATCTTTTATTGGCTGTTTAAATACCTCACAAATCAAGGTACTTTATTACATTGATACAAATAATATTATTTATTATATTTATTTGAAGCATTTCCTACAATAATCGAATACACCTACATATATCACAAAGTTAGCTACCTCTTAGTCGACAGTTGACCAATTTATATTGTCTTAAGGTGTATATCGTCATATTTTCCAACCCTACAGCTTAAGTAGTAACTTTTTATTGGTATTTACAAAATGAAAGATCTTTCTTAACTACCAAAGGTAACATCCACCTGCAACAACTACCTTCATCAAACACTTCCATGTGTGAAATGCCCATTTACATCATTCCCATGTTCCATTGCTCCTCCATTCTCATGTTCCTCTTATCACACTGTATGTGCTGCATTTTGCCCTTCATTTTGCCCTTCATTTTGCCATTCATTTTGCCCTTCATTTTGCCCATTTACTACCCCTTCTCTATTCTGCCTTCCCTCCCCCTCCTCTCATGGTCCACCCTGTTTTCTCCCTCATCCACAGAGATAAAAGATAAGATGGCCACCTCCTCCTCCACTCTGGAAGAAGACGAGAGTTTGAAGGGCTGTGAAATTTTTGTGCAGAAGCACAACATCCAGCAGATCCTCAAAGAGTGCATTGTGAACCTCTGCATTGCAAAGCCTGAGCGTCCTATGAAGTTCCTGCGGGAACATTTTGAAAAGCTGGAGAAGGTTGGTGATAACAAAGTTTTGTATAATTTAGGTTTCTCTTGAAGTTATTATGTGTAGTTTAACCTTAATATTACAAATATATGACATACATGTTGATTGCAGTGTGTGCCAGATTCAAAGTAGTGATTCCAAGCCTGAATTTCTCTGATATTAATGTACAAAAAAGCCTATATAAATGACATTTTCCATATATTTTATGATAAAATAAGATAGGATGGGCCTTTATTAATCCCTGTGGGGAAATCCAGGAATAAATAAGTGGTTATTATTACAGGCTGGGTTACAATGAAGTAAGCTGTTTTAATATTATGGACAATTTCATATATAAAAAACACACATTTCAAGTGTGTTGGTATGTCATATTCACCTGGCACATATATAAACTGGTTTTATTTCTTTGTTACGTTTCCTCACCTTGTTCCAATTAATAACATTATCACATACTTGTATTCAAACTGTTATAATATAGATTTCATTTTTCATCCTACAAGGGGAGAATTCATTTAGAGGTTTGAGAACCAGACTGTTTGTCTGTCCGTCACAGCAGAGAGTAGAGAAGGCTTTTTTTAATGAAGATGCAAAAAAAAGATCATAGAATGGGGTTAACACTGGCAACCTTCATAGCACAGTCTCTTTGGCAGACCATGTGAATGCTCTGTGTGTTCTGTGTCCGTCTCATAAGCATATGAGTTGGTAGAGTACTGTGTGGCATATCTACAGAGGCAACGTTATTTTGCATTGAAGTTGCTTCACTGACTTCTGCTGTTGTTGGTCATATTTTACCCAATATGCTTTTCACTATAATATGGTGGCCCACATTTTAGGCCTGATGGATGTTCCTTCCAAACATTTGGCTTTGATCCAGTGGAGTTGCAGATGGATATTTGGCTCATGAGTTGATCATTTGATATCTTCGTTTCAACAATGGGTTCTTCTCTTTAACTGTTGCACATGGGTCATAAAGGTGTATGAGACGGAGCTGTGGGCTGTGAATATTGGCCTGAGGAAAGTTAAGTCCTTGGAAAGAAGTTTTCAACAAGAGAAGTGATTGTGAGGCGACATCAGATATAGCAGTGCTTAAATTCACCATGCTGATGCCTGGAGGAGGGTCTCTATCGTTGCTTGCTGTGAAGTGTGTGCGTTGATGATCATGTGGGAGTCATCTGATTTCATATTTTTCTGACATGAGAAGGACTATTTTGGTTTTTATGGCTTGTGTTCATCTAGGTTTTCAGGGCATCAGGACACAAAGTACAAGGTCAGGGCCAGAATGTTCCAGTTCCAGTCCCAGTTATGTGTTTGCATCTGTCCACTACATCTGGAGCTACTGTCCTCACAGAGCTGAGTGTGAGCACAACATTGGTAGTAGAGCTTCTGCTGCATAGACAGAGAGGCAGCACGAATACTAATGGTTAGAATAGAGCTCAGAATAATAGTAGCAAATGGTGTAAAATGACTTGAGGCACATCTGCACTGCATACTGTAATCATTATGGCTCAATAGCAAATGAGCATCAAAGCTTTTGTGTTGTGATAAAAAAACCTCTATGTTTTAAAGTAGTGAAAAAGTATATGTATTACATTTAATATCTATTTATTGGATGTTATATCAAATCTATTGACAAAAATAGCATATCAAAAATTCTGCCACATACGATTTAGATTCGATTCAATTATAATTATAAGACAATATCAACACCGAAAGTTAACATTCAAATTAGCTCACAAAAGGCAACTAACATTTGGTTTGATAACTTCATTAATGGGCTCTTTCAGACATTTAAACGAAAAACAATCCATTCTTTTTATATAAAATGAGTGAAAATAGAACTCCTGTAATTGACTATAAATTGCCACATGCAATGGGAATTTCAAAATTAAGGCATATCTCAAAGACACTGATATGTATCAACGTTTTAACTTTTCACCAATGATATTGCATGGTTGATCATTGAATAAATGCATCATAACTACACTGTAGCTATGTGCAAATGACAATAAAAGCTTTGAATCTTGAATGTCATATTAATGGATCATTACAACCCTAATATCTAACGAAGAAATAAGCTAGTCTACATGGGTCTTTAGCTTCCTGAAAGTGGGCTCTGCTACAGTCTTTATGTGTGACTGGTGAAGGATTAATACAGTGGCGTAACAAGGTTGTGATTGGCCCCGGGGCAAATATTGTTTTTGGTCACAATCAATGCAATGATTATTAGCAGTAGTTATTAGTGCAAAAAATAAAACGTAGTGGCAGTTACGTAATTGCACGTTATCATAGCATTATTAATAATACTAATAATAATAATATAATATAATATTGCACATAGTTATATATAGCAGCGAGTGTATTTCAGTGATGGTACTTATATGTATATTGCACATAGTGTTGGTGTGGGAGTTCATTACTTAGGGGTGAAGAGTTAAATAGTTTGATTGCCACTGGGAGGAAAGACCTCTTGTGGCGCTGTGTGGTGGTTATCGGTGATCGGTGATCTCAGTCTATGGCTGAAAGTGCTCCGGTAGGAAAGGTTGATTAAACGGTTCGCTCGTCACGCAAGGGTATCACATGACATGAAAGGGAGCAAGGCCATTGGACAGACAAATTACAAATTAATTTAGGTTGCTTGCGGTTGCTTGGTTACTTTGAAGACTGCGTGAACCGGTCAATGCCATTGGGGCCCCAAAATATATATATAAAAAAAAGAAATATATAAAAAAAATATTATTATTATTATTGTTTTTTTGTTTTTTTTTGTATGGGCCCCTGGCCGGCTCTGCAACGTCGATAGTTACGCCACTGGATTAATACATTTGATTGGTGGAATACAGCACCTCACTCTCTGCATCACATACCCATCACACCTTGTGCAATAAGTTAATGTATGTTAAGCTGCTGAGCTCTGCTCCATCCTGCTGCCTGAGCTGCTGCAGCTTTACTTTTCACTACACTATCCTCATTGTTTTGGTATTATGCTTCATCGCTGAATACAGGTCAAGTCGGGTCTGATTTCTGGCAGCCTGTACAATTATGAAACTATTGTTTTAAACAAACTAACATTTTTCATAATATAATTGTTTTCATCTCCTGTACTTAACCTTCAGAGTTTGTCTGTTCTCTTTTTATTTTCCCTCAGCTGTTTTCGTCAGCACTCGTAGCCCAATAGAGGTGGTAACTTAGGCAACAGTCGAGGATAGATAGACTGTTTTCTATCCTGTGTTAAATGAGCCCCTTTATTTTCAAAGTTTATTTCATCCCTCCTCTTTTGTGTTCAGGGTTTTCTTGTGTGCCAATTAGATCACTGGGTATTTTCCCCTCCCATTGCCTGACCTAACTAACCTCATTTCATATCTGCACAGGATCCATTTCATGCGGCTTTCACGGTCTTATCTGGAAAATCTCTTTTCCCTGTCTCAGTTTCTCCATCGTTTGCCCTCAGTGTCTTTCTTTTTTCCCCCTTTATTTTCTTTCTTTCATTGTTTCTTCTTTTGTGCTTCTATTTTGTTTCCCTCATCTATTCTCAACACACACACATGCAAACTTGAGAGAACCAAATTAAACATCTAAATATTTCGTTTTTTAACTCTTGTTTCAATATATCAACAGCTGAGTCTTTGGTACTCTTTGCTGATATTGTGAATGGGAAAATAACAGGCGTCTGCTCCCTTTCATCCTGCCTATTTATGCGTGATAATGATGCCTATGATCTCTACAGCAGTGGTATATTGCTGTTCTCATCTCCCAACTCTATCAGCTCGGCTCAGTTTGTATGTTTTGGCACACCAACATTTAAAAAGACAGCATTTACTGAGTCAACTTAGCTGAGTTTTTATAGTATTCTGACACAACTGTCCCTTAATCAATGTTTTTTATTAGCTTTTGTGTTCTTCGGAATGATTTACTGTAAGTATGTGGCATAGCTGTTTAGTTTACATTTAAATATTTGTTATTGGGCAGTACGTTTGTTCTTATCAATGCAAAAGCTGTGTATCAGTCTGCATCATTACTGATCGGTCTAATAGAGCAGTGCCAGGACTGAATGTGTGAATGTGGATGTCACTGAATACATCAAGTCAGCAGCTGCCACCGCAGATGTTTTATTGAATTGGGCATATTGCATCTTCACAAGGCTTAACAGTATTTTTTGGCATTCGGGACCACTGTGGCTGGCTTTGTGTGTAAAATTAAGCTGCAAAAAAGAAATACTTTCTATTCTGCTCTTCCTGTTTCGTTTTGTGAGAAAATATTTGATGACTCACTACTAATGCACAACACTTTGATCATGTCCATACCACCTGCACTGGCAAACAAATGTTCAGCGCATGAGAGCCATAACTATTCAACTCCATCTGTAAGGGTGTTGTGCTTGGAGTCTAAATTATATATTTGGATGACTACATGACTTGGCGCTGTTTTGTGATCTCAAATTGAAACTTAGCACCAAATGCAAATGTGTCTTTTTTGTCTTCTGGGGTTCGGCATTAATGAACTGAACAGGTGTATTTTCTAACAGTAAATCCCTTTATATGTTGTTTTAAAAGACCCTAGCCATAGAGAAGTTGTTAAACACCTTTTGCGTCCTCTGTGTATGTTTATATCTGTTTGTCGTCGTGTTCATGTGTTAGTATGTGTTACGGTTTGTACAATGCTCCCTGTGTGCTTCACACTCACAAGACGATCATAAGTTTGTGTCTCATGCTTCCCTCCTGCCTTTTTACAATTCCTCCCTTATCCCTCTCATCACTCATCATTTTATTCCACTCTGAATTCAGCAGCCATGTCCATTCGCATTTTGTCTCATCTACTAGCATCCAGTCATATTTAAATATTCTCTTTTCTTCTTCTGTACTCTATTCCTCCGTCACCTCACACAAACCCTCCGTTGAATTGTCGCACTTAGACTTGCTCTTTTACTCAATTCTTTCCTCTTAAGTTGCAACTGAAGAAAACACTTGGCAATTCAGCATCCATTCATTGCCCTCAGAATACATTTACATATA